AAAATTAGGTAAGAAATGAATGCCAGCAATTATATGACTAGCTAATAAATATAATTTCACGGTATTCTGTAGCTATCCCAAACTGTTAATTATAACAGGAGCAGTTAAATTCTTTAGAGCAGTTAAATTCTTTGGCTATGAAAGCATAACAGTTTTTAATAGATGTATCACCTGGTAACCTTGGGCATTATTAAAATATATGGAGATGGAAAGACATGGTAGAAGCAATGGAAAAGTCTGGCCAGACTGGGTAATTTGTTTGAGACCTAGGGAGAAATCTATTAACCATTTCTTCTATAGACCAATTTGATTAGGAAGTAGGACAAGCTGTTCTTTCATTACTTACCAAAACCTTACTGCACTTTGTATCAATTATTTGGCTGTCTGCAGCACATAGATTAGAATAAAGGGCTTTCTTAGTGTTTGTGAATGTTGCGGATTGCTGATTAGTAATTAAAGTCCTGAATGAAGAAAATCAGGCCAAAATTGAATGGGAATGAAAAAGTCTTAATTCTGTAATACAGATGTTAGAAACAGATTGTCTTGAGCAGCCCATTCAACACAGTGACATTCTACACAGCCACGGAGTGTTTGCCTCCTATGTAAAACTCAAGTCGAATGCCTGAGAGGTTGTTTCCTCTCCCGTGCCTTATGATGTAGCTGTATGGGTATTAATTTAGTGAAATATCCTGTCTGCCAGGTGTGGGAATGAGCTGATTTTATTGTAATACCAGATCATTACTTAATTCATATGCAACAGAGTGCAGCACATGGAAAGCATTATAAATCTATTTACAATGTGGCTGGTCTGATGATAACATTGTATTAAATTCCCAGGTGAGGCAATTTAAGCAATTGCTTTGCCATGTGCACGCCATGGAAATTAAATTCTCATATACGCTTTAGTAATAAACCAACTTCATTGTTATGCTTATGCTAGTAGTGGGTGCTAGGATCCTCATTCTGGTTATGTATACTCTGTTTCACGTGTAGAATCATACAGGAGGTGGTACCACAGATCACAGTTCTTAATTAGTTTAAGCTAAGTTAATTCATTTTGTTTCTGGTTTAGCAGTGCCTGTCCAGGAAAACATTCAGCTCAGTTGGGAAATGTTAAGGTCAAGTAGATAGATTGTTTCAAGCCAGATTTCCAGGCAGAACTGAGCACGTGTATCTGTTTGAACTTGGCTTTAAGAAAATCAACCAATCAGTATGCAAACGTTCTGTTTCATCCAGTAAAAACTGCTTGGAATTTGAAATTCTCGCTTTCATAACTAAAGACTCACTTATGTCATCAGTTTAAAATAGCCATGGAAACTTTGTGCAACTGATGTGTTAGGGATAACAATCAGTCATTAATTTGTCATTTTTTTATGGTTCATATACGACCTGTAGATTTTTCTGTTCAACTGTCTAGTCCTCCAAAGTATATAAGTTAGAAGGAATAAACTTTACACAAATACACAACTTAAAGTGAGGAATGCCTTTATATTTAACAGTCTGTGTGTGTGTGTGTGTGTGTGTGTGGCAACTATTGTCAGTTGAAGCTTTTCCACCCTTATGGTACAGATCCAAAATTGCAATAGATTACAAACTGCGGAGAGCTTCTGTCTTCTCTGGAAGCCACATATAAAGCACCAGTAGACAGTAGTAACTGACAACTAAGACTAAAAATGTTGACAATTTCTTGATTTGCCTGGTTAGCTTATGTATAGAAGTCATTAACTATTTATAAAATGCATTATGAATTGGGTTCCTTCAAACTGTAGCTGAGTGTGTGACATTTCCAGCTCAAATTCTCATGCTTGCATTTGGCTAAAGTACAGAAAGTACAGATTTTATACAGTTGATAATAAAGTAAAAAAATAGTTTATCAAGATACAGTAGATGTTTCACTTTCATTAACTTTGAATCTTCCAAATTAAAGTGTGACATAGTACTTAGTGATGTAGAGTGAAGTTTTAAAAAATTCCACAAAAGGTAAAATACTTTATTGGTATTTTGGAGGAAAATTTTATAAAATAAGCAGTTTATCATTCAAAGGAATTGGTCTTTTTTGGTAATCAGCTTAGTGATGATCCTGTAGGCTAAATTAGAGTTAATTAAAATCAGCTTACTTAAAATTTCAAACCGTAAAAAATTAGGAGAAAATACCAATATTGGCATTTAAATATAATTCTTAATAAAGCAAAGTCTTATTTTCTTTTAATTTTTGTAAACCGATACTTGAGTGTAAACAGTTCTATCTTCAGCATTAGTTGTGTCCTTTTCATGAGGACCTATTTCTGATATTTGAAATAAGATATCTTTTCATTCTTTAAGAGAAGTCAGTCGTATCAGAGACCATTTTATTAACTCAGCATATTACTTGCTTAATTACATCCAGGAAGCCATCCAAATGACCAGTTTTTATCATCCTAATGGTAAAGAATGACATTTACAGGGACCACCCTTCAACTGTGGCTAAATCTTTAGTTCTCCTCTGTTGCCGAGCATGTACACCCTTAATTGCTGGTTTCCAAAAGCAATGGATTCTAACCAAAACAAGATTAGATATTTAGGGATACATGTTTGTAATTTTCTTCTTTTGAAGTAGAGTAAATCAAAATAAGTATATCATGTAACTGAACAATCTATGCCAATTTGTTGGTATTTTGGTGAAAAAAGGGAAAAACGAAAACAATCTCCATATGATATTCTTGCATACTGTGGAATGTGTTAGTCCCCCATAGTGATGAAATGAATAATTAAAAAGGCAGCTCTGATAACATAGCCTGTTTAAAGGTTCTCATTTCCTTTAATGCTGTGAAATACTTCTGCTTAGCTAGTTTGAAACTACTGTAGCAGGGATCTCCAAATGGGCAAAAGAAAGGTTTGGCTTGATTGAAATACTGTGGTAAGAGCATGAAGTGTACTGTCCTTATAAGTTAGCAGTTTTCAATATAATTCTATATGAAGTCAGTAGAAACAGCTGATTAATAGTAGCTTCAGTAAATACAATAAGAGAAGCTGTTCGCGGTGGTAAGAAGCCTGGCATGTTCACAAACGAATGACTTGGGTCACTCCTGAATAGTTCAGACATCTGATAGAGATGTCATTACTGACCTCAGGCTAATGACCAAACTTTTCTATTTTGTCATTTCTGCAACATTGTTGGTTTCATTTATCTCCTTCCAGACTTACTGCATTTGCCAAGGCATGAGATACACACTCGTAGCAGGGAAGGGAAGCTTGGGGTAGAGACTTGGGGCAGGAGGGGATGCCACCGTCTCCTTTATAACATTTTGCAATTTTTATATTTTTTTCCTGAGTATATTCAGAGGGTAATAAAATAAGGAGGAAATTTTGTGCAGTAGAGTGAGTCCTGAGCTGTAAGTCAGGACCACAGGGTTCTACTCTCCATTTAACCAAAGCTTTACCTTTAGAATTCCACAAGACTTATTTTTTTTTCTAGAAAATAAAGGGATGTTTAGGTTTATTTTATTTTTATTTATACCCTATTCAGCCCTTTTCAAGCGGATTCTGCAGGAGAGTTAAGCCCGAATGCCCTAAGGCTTCTATTCTGTGTAATGAACTAAACTCTCTCTTATATCCCATCCTTGGGAGAATTGAGAAAATAGCCACTGAAATAATTTTCTGTGTTTTGTGGTTCAGATAAGGAACCCCAATTGAGAAAGGCAACTTTAAAATGATTTAAAATCTGTGAGTTTTTCATGTCAAAAGTCCTTTTAAATTCTAATATAATATGATTTTGTGTTTAAGATATTATGATCTCTATGTGGCAAAGCAGTGTTCCTCATTCACTGGTTTAAAAATCTAATTAAAAATCTTGTTGACTTCTGCTCATGGATTATGGCTAGTCCTTTTAAACTACAATAATTTTTCATATCACAGTTCAGCAGGTAAGAAATTTTAAGTCCTAAACTATAGACCCCAAGTGAGAAAAGATTACTGTTTCCCAACAGCCATTTTTTAATTGAATGCTTTTGCTTAGTTAGTTCAGAAGCAGAAAAAGGCAGCAAAGTAACCTGTAAATCTGCATTTGGGTCTGAAATAGTGATGCTGAAGTAGGATCTGAGGATGGCACTCTAGCTTCACAACTAATTTTCAGAGCCTTTTAGCTTTTCCAAATGTGTGCACATTTAGATAATTCATGAATTGCTTGCAGACATGTCCCTCTGACTTTACAGGTAAAGGTAGATTTCTTGTAAAACAAAATTTCAGTGTAGGAAACATCAGTTCATAGCCCGCTTGTCTTTATTTATAGGAATTGTGAAAAGTTGACTCATAGCCTATTTTCCTTTATTGACCGGGATTGGGAAATTTAATTTGTTTTAACACACACACACACACACACACTCACTCGCTCTCTCTCTCTCTCTCCCACTACTTTTCCTTAGGCAGTTATTTTTAGAGGACTGGAGACATTAAAATTATTGTTTGGAAATGAGATGGGCTTTTAAAATTCCACCTCTTTCTGGTTAGTAACATCACAATGAAGGAAATATGGATGTGCTATTTTCCAGGCATTCCAGTGTATAGTTGGAGATAATATCCCAGAGTTAGAGATTTTAAAAGACCTATATTGTGTAGTCCATTTCCTGCCACAGTATTAACGACCCCCATATACTCTTGTTTTAATTACAATCCGGTGAGTGTTGCAGATAGACAGACAGCTGTATTTCCTCCAGCTTCATGGTCTTATTTGAATGACTCTGTATGGAATAATACATCAGTTCAGATCTGTTTGTGAATATTAATAGACAACTTACACAATGCAGAGTTTTCTTTCATTACTGGCCTTTGAAAAACTTCTCATTTACATTAAAACTTCTCAAGTTCAAGAACTTTGCACAATTTTGGTTTGCAGATTTTAGCAAATGGGTTTCCATTAGGGGGCTCTCGAGGTTTGAGATGATCAGCCTTGATACCAATAATGCTTCGAAGCCTTTACTTTCTAACATTCATCTTGCTCTCTCCCTTTTTGTTTTGTTTTATAGAAAAGGTCACGGATCGCCTACAGTGACGAAGTACGGAATGAGCTCCTAGGGGATGATGGGAATTCCTCAGAGAACCAGGTAGAATGCTAATCAGGAAGGCCCGGTGGGTGGCTGGAGGGTGAAGGAGGTCACTGGCACACTGGGCTCTCAAGCTGCTCCGTAACAGTATTAGCAGCAACTCATGTGGAAGCGATACTGTTTAATGCAAAGCTGGAGTCTTAATCAACTTCAAAATGTTTCTTGGAGATCTTACATTTAACCCTTTACCTTGTGATCACTGTCTGCTATCTTTTAAAAAAAAATCTTTTCTTCTCTTTTCTTTATTATTTAGTACTTAAGGAATAACTTGAAACACACTGTTTGCAGACAAAGCCAAGGTCTTCACCTCAAACACATGTAAAAGGAATAAAAAAGTACATAATGCAGCTTTGATAATAATGCAGTATAATTAAATCAACACTTGCAGCAAAACAAATGAAAGTAAGCTTTCAAAATTCGACAGGGCAGCTCAGTCTCCTATTGTGTAGCTTCTTAAAAAATATATTCACCAGAATGCAAATTGTAAGCACCAGGGTGGAACTTGGATACTCACACAGAGGTCCTGCCCCTGTTAAATAATGATGATGGTGATGATGATGGTGATGATGGTGATGGTGATGACAGTGGTAGTAGCAGTAATAGAAAAAGTCTTTTTGCAGTTTAAGATCCGCATAGGCAAAAATTAAGATACAATTTCTTCTTAAAAGGGCCTTACAACTTGGCTGTCAGTTCTCACTGGATCACACAGTAGTGTCATGAGTCTAATTAATGTCCCACCTCTTTCTTTGAATTAATACTGCAGATTTCATTAATTCATGTAGATAATATTTATGACTTTAAAAAAATGTTTCAAGAACCTCAGTGTAGAGATGATTTTAAAAATGTCTCAAACAGCCCCAGTGATTGATTCTCTTTGACACTTTTAAAGAAAATAAGTGATGGGGAACTTCAGAAGCAAGACCTGAATGTGTTTATTAATGTTACTTTGGCAAGTCTAGTAAAGGTCTCTACTCTGCCTAAATAAAAATGAACATAAATCATTCATTGAGTAAACCAAAACTTTAATAAGATGGTAAAAGATAATGTATTGATACACATTATAAAAATTGCATTAATAGTATTTACCATTTCAAATAGAGTAAAAGTCTATATATGCTGAATCTATAATACTATCTCCTAAAATGTTAATATTGTAAATAGGGTTGTTGCTTCTGTGATTAAAGCCCCCATCTACCCACCTCCCCAAAAGGAGTAGAATCACTGAGCTGATTATGTTTGTTTTTGGAAAGATCCCACCTCCTCCCCTATTCGGATGTTATCAGCTTGAGTTCAGACATGTAAACACTCTAAGATTTGACTTTGGATTTCGGCTTCCCTGATTGAAATGTGAGAACAGCTAAGGGAAAAAAATATAAGGAACACATCAAACATAAAAGAGTGATGCGATAAAGGAGTTTTACTCATAATAGATTAAATAATGTGAGGATGAGAGGAAAAAATATTTTCTTCCTATCATCTTAAGTGAGATTTAGATTGCTCATACCTCTTGAGTGAATCATAGTTTTATTTTCTATCTTTACTGCAAAAAAGCACTGTCTTTTTTTGTCAAAAAGAAAAAAAGTGAATACGTAGTCCCCATGTCAATTCTTTAAAAAGCTATAGATCTTTCCTTCATTTGAAACTACTGCCTAATGTAGAGGAAATAGAAAGGAAGGGGGTGTTTCTGTCTAACTCAGGCTCCTTTATTGTAATGGATGTTATAGTTCTGTGACAGGGATCCTTTTTTTTTTTTTTTTTGAAGCATGTTCACTTCTCTTAATGGACATTTTATGTGCCTAAAACATTTGCCTTACGTACATATAAGTGTGACTTTTTTTATGCCTAAAGAAAACTATTCCACAAAAATAGATTTGAGTTCGTATTTTCTGAATTTTTAAAATTCCATTCCTGTCACTTTAAAGTGATTACTTAGAGATTTCCCCTGGACTTGTATAAATCAAACTTACAAATTCTGAAAGTGCTTGGAGAGTCTGAAGTTTAGTTGTAAGGAGCTGTCACTTCAATAAATAGAGTATGATAAATTATTGTCATGAGACTGTGTAACTGTTAGATTATTACTTATGTGAACTTTTCAGCCAAATTTGACTCAGGTTTGAAAGTTTAGAGATTACATTTAAATTTTTAGATATTCTGTTATCAAATGTAGCAAAATTTCCATTTCATAATGTAGTCTTTAAATTTTGTTTTGAGACTCTTTATCACAATATAGGAATTAAAATCCCTATAACTATAACACATCCTTAACCAGGAATGGTCACTTAATGATAACTCTTTATTCTGCATCAGTATTCATTCAGAGTATGGAATCAAAACAGAAGCCCTTTCTTTAAAGAAAGAAGAGATTTATGTTGGCTTTTGTTGGCTTTTGATTTTAATTTTTGTAGCTCAGTGGCTGAGCTTTTTTCTGGGTAGGATCACCTGCTAATTATATAAGAAAATATTTTCTGCACACAGATAAGTATATTTTTCAAGTTAATTGTTGATAAATTGATTTTTCAGAACGTGTTGGCCATGTAATATTTATGATAAACTTTTAACATACAGGGAAGACTTGGAGATAAACAAAATGAGACAAAAATAGCAATATTTGTTTAACTAAAATTGAGATATATCTCAATTTTTTAAAAATTATAGATCAGAAAAGAAAAATAATAAAGAATTAATAGCGATGGTTGCAAATAGATAAAATAAACTAAGTACTGGCTGTTTAGTGATTTTTGATGCAATATACACATCCTCCCTATAGTGACTTCTTTGCAGATTTAGATAAATGTGACTGCCATGGCTATGATTTCTCATTCTGCCAATTTATAATGCAATTTTTAAGGCATTTAGAGCCTGGCAGTCAATACACATAATTATAAAATGCCAATTAACTATAAAGTATATTAATTTACTCTTATATATATATATAAACATTCTTGCCACGATAAGAAGTATCAAAATTTCAAAAATTAAAAAATTTTCAAATGTGTTTTAATGTCCTTCATGCCATGCACAATTTATTTTATTCCAAGTTAATTGCTTTGTATAAATTCATCTCTATTATATTCATTTCATACAGTCAAATATAGCTCATCCTTGATTTACAAAAAAGGGACAGAATTACCTACTTTGCACATTCAAGTGTTGTTGGATCTTTCCAAGGACTATTGTCTTAGGCATTATCATTTTGTTCTTTTACTGTGTCATATTTTCCATTGCGTATGACATTTTAATTTTTTGAGAGAATTCTTTCTTGAAACGTAGTGATGCTATATTTAGAGTGGAAACTTTAATAGCTGTTAACTTGATTTAGTTTCATGAAAACCATTCTTAGGAAAGGAAAAAAAAAAATCTTACAGAATTAAATCCCCTTCATAGTGAAGTATGATAATGAGGCAAATGTTCCAAGCTCTATTTCTGAACCCTAATAATGTCTATATGCAGTTTCCATATGCAATATTATATTGATCAGTGAATAAATCAGAGTAAGTGAAATTTGAGTAAATCCTAAATAGAAGGCTCAAAAAATATATAAAGAGTGGGATATTTCTAAACGTGTGGAAATTTTTGTGGTAAAGCAATATTCAGCAGATATGATTGCTTAATTTTTTAATGTAAGGTTCTCTTAAGTTCCGATTTGGGCTTGCTGTGCATAAAGTGTGTCAAACTTCAGCTCCAGACCAGGGGGTGAAGTCGGTCAATTTAATTCCCCAAGATCTAAAGAAGGTCGGTATCATTTCATATAGCCTTGGCAGAGCAGATCATTACCAGGCACAAATCTGTTCGTTACGTGCTGAGGGTTTATAGCAAAATAAATAGACTGTCATCATAAGTTCAGAAAATTGTGTGTTCGACCCACGATAATGTGTAAAGGGCGTTTAATAGAGTTCAGCATTTATTCGTTATCTGTATGCGGACAGAGACGGCAGTCGCGTTATCAGCTTTAAAAAAAAATTGGGGAGTTCTGGGGGTCACGTGACGCCCCTCACACACACAGGCGCGCGCACGAACCCTCCCAGGCTCCGCAGTGCAGTTTTGATTTTAGTCACAGCAGAAGGCTTAACCACAAGAGATTCCACTGGTTCAAACCAGCGTAAACCAGATTTTTTCAGCCCACAAAGGAACAGATTACCTCTTGTATCAAATTCTGCACTGGGGGGAAAAATCTTTGTTTCAAAAAAGATGTTGATTATCATAACTCAACATGGTGGCATGGCGCACTTTCATGTCGCCTATGACGGAACTCGTAACTCGGGAAAAGACGAAATCACCATTTTCAGTCTAGCCTAAGCATTGTTAATTTTCAAAAATAGACCATCTTTTGTTTCCTTGAATGAGACCTCTCGGACTAACTAACAGAAAAAAAAAAAAGATAAAGATTAAAAACCCTCCCATTACCTAGCTTAGCTACAAATCCGGTGTAAAGCTTGGATGCAGCCATGCAGCACAAACAAGATAGAACGTTTTTTGTTTGGAACCTATTGAAAAAACAAACGGGTAGCATTTTTAAACACTCATTGATTATGGCAGGGTGGCATGGCCCAAATGGTCTCTGTTGCTGAAGAGTAGTTTTAAACTTTGGCCCTTTAAGTATCATAGTCAACTGAAGGCTGGTGCCCCCAGAAAGAAAAAAAATAGCTGTGCAATCAATTCCCAGCTCAGCTCTTCCTGAGAATTAATGTTTACCGTTTTCTCCCATGATGTTCGCATGGCAAAGAGAAAGATTCCAGTATGTGATAGGCCAGGTATTTTAGTTTAGAATTTTACTTCTTCTGGAGAAGAATTGTAACTTTTCACATGAAATGAGGAGATACTCGACTCACATACACTCAGTGGTTGCTGAGGGAATGAGTAACGAAAAGTAATGACAACTTCGTGTGTATTTTTGAAAGGATATTAAAAGTTTCTTTTTCACTAAATGCACTGTAAGATGTTATGTAATAGATTCTATGCCCTTTTCAAATAAAAGATTCATAACAGATTTGAAACCTCATTCTTGTGTACTTGAAATATTTTTCAGATAACAAATGAAATAAACTATGCTGGAATACATATTACCTTCCTTGAATTGGAGACAAAAACAGCATTAAGCATTGAAAAATCCGGGCTATAGAAAACATGATACTTTTAGAAAGACTTATAGTGAGCAATTCATGGCACGTTTCTCCCAAAGCAATAGTTTAATTTATTGGCTTGCATATGTCAAGTGTTATAACAGATGTTACACATATTTGGATGCTTAGAAATTATCAGTTGTAGACCTGAATTGCTGAGGATGCAAATTTCAGACCTAGAATGTGGTTCATAGTCTCTTACAACGTAGGTTTTAGTTTCTATTCATTGTGGAAACTATGGCAGACACCTCAACTGTACAGTGATATTTGTGGTTAGAACATAGTGCTGTCAAACACAAAAACACACAAACACAGAGGGAACTAGATATATGATTATATCCATTTTCTAGTTTGTAAACAGTTAAGCAGCTTGTTTTATCTGTTATATTTAAGGCAAATAGAAAAATATTCTACAGAGGAGAATCCAAATGTTATCGTGCAGGAGTTTACTAACAGGTAAAGAGTGATTTTGGGTTTGACTTTGGTCAAAATAGACTATAGTACAAATGAAGTGAGATACTTTGAGATGGCCCATTTGATAAGATAAAGAAAACTGAGAAGTGAAGAAATTTCAGACATTAAAATAAAAACACCATGTGATTGCAGTAGCCTCTTAAAACAAAAACCTGGACATCAATGCTGTTATATACGATATTTCTAAGGATAGTGAAATATTTTCTGATACTCTGTCCTAAATATTATCCATCCTGGCATGCTTTGTTCCCAATTAAAATAATGTTACTTCCAAAGGTGATCCTATTACTAGAGTGGATACAAGTATAACATTAACATAACAGTTTGTGGTTTAAATACTTATTGGGACAAAAGCATGAACTATTAATCATGTTCATTTGGAGGTAAAATCTGAAATCAGTTGTCAAGATTCAAAACAGAGAAACATCCTGAAAACTTGTACATACAAAACCTCTTCAGTGGTTCATTCTTAGAAGAGAGGAACAGTAAACTTGTTTTCTTTCTTTATAATATAGACTTCTATGAAGTCGTTCCCCTTTATTTCATGATGGTGTCTTAGATGTACTTTAAAAGAGAATTTCACACTATTCTCTTTGTTTAATGTGACAGTGTGAGAAAGTGATCTTTATTCGTTCAAAAAACTCTGCATGTAGTCTATGCTTAGGTTCTTTTAATGTGTTTGTCTGTGATTTTTAAATGCTAAACATGTAAACAGATAAATTGTCAATGTTAATTCTGTATCCTGTCACACAACTGATCTTTCTTTCCTGCCATTTCTTTCCTTTTTATCTTTTTTTTTTTGTGCATTCATGTTGCAGTTGATAAAATTACGTGAAGAGGTGAGTACTTCCTAGCTTGCCTTTTTTTTTTTTTTAATTCTGCTTTTCCCTATAAAATTGAGTTTCTAAATCTGAAGTAAGATCTTTGGGTTCATTTTTCCAGGAAAATCTACACATAGCGGAAGTATTGATTATATTGTTTAGAAATGTTCTCTGCTGACTGTCTTTATAAAAACAAGTATATCCTAATCATGCTTATCACAGTGATCATTGTTTCCTAACTTCAAAGAAAATTGCTATTTTAAAGACCAAGTCGGGGAGGAAAAATAAAGGAATATCTTAAAACTATACCTACGTGTAGTTTTAATGTAGACCAGCTTCAGATTTGTTTTATTTGTACTCATTTCTCAAAGGAATCAATATGATTAAAAAAATTTTTTTCTGACATTCTGATTTACTTTACTGAAAACTATTTTTAAATAAACTCCTTTCCCTCAAGCTAAAATTCTTAGATGCAACATTAGATACCATGAGTCTATTATCCTTTTGGGGAAACACACACATGTTATAAATGCCCTGCTAGTCTGTGTACACAGATACCTAAGAAGAGCCAAAGCTTTCCTCATTGTTAAACACTTTCCTTTTTGTAGGAAATAGCACCCAAGTGAGTTCTCATTTTTCTGAGTTTGCTAGTCTGTTTCATAATACAACTCCAGACTTTTTTGTGGTCCAGCAAATATTTGCACCAGCGTTTATAATTTTATCCCTGTATGGATGAGGGATGTGGAGTGCTTCTCCTTATTTTTTTAATTTGACCAAACTTATCAAATATGCTTTGCTACTCTTTTCAGAGATGGAGTTGAGTTCTGTTACTTTTATATTAGTGCATAAAACAAAGGCCCATATTGCAATTTAAAAATTGTCTAATTGCTTATTGTAATAGAGTACTGCGAATGATTTTCAAGTTTAGATTGACTTCGTTGTTGAGATTTTCCTAGAAGTTTTTCTTATTGGTGTGTCAGCATTCTCTAGGTGATGTGAATGCTAATTTAGAGGTTTGTAGAGAGTGGTTTTCAACAACTCTTCTGATTTAAGGTGCGTTAGTGATGCCTTCCTCAGTAAGAGTAATAACGATATATAAAATAAAGGGTGAAAATACACAAAACCCTCACCCTCCAAACTTCTTGTGTTTTTTGTCTTCCTTGCATGGAAGCAGATATATATATATATATATATATACACTAAATGAATATTATCGAATGCAGTTTTGATGTATAAGATTATTCTCGAGGTGAGTGATACATCAACTCCACTCTTCTGCCAGACAGACAGTTTGTATGTATTTGCATCTGCTCAGGCTTAGGTGAAGAATCAAATGTTAATGCGGCTAACAATAGCCTTGAAAACCACTATGTGCAGAAACTACATGAAGCCCTTTCCCTTGAATCTAGCAGTGAATAGAATTAGTAAATTTTTGTGCCTTAGTACCATCAGCATCATCGACAGATTTATTTTTTTAAGCTGAATTGTGTGGACTTAGAAATCTGAATTTTAAAAGCGGAAAACGTCACATCTGCATTTCTTTTAAAATATAGCCCATCATCGTTCTATGACTTAATTCTTTTCTTGTGCCTATAGCAACAGTTTCATCAGTTATGCTCCTGGAATGCATGTTTCCCAGACTGTAACCTGAAATGGACTTGTACTCAGAAGAATTGGATCACTCAACTCATAGAATAATAGACTGAAATACTTTTTTAACAGTCTTTGATACAGATATATCATTGATATTTCCAGAATGGTTATGGCAATGACACTGATTTGGTTTGCTCCGAAGTGATTGTTTCTCAGCCAGGATTCTAATAGTAATCACACAGTGAACATACCCCAAATTTCTTCCTGGTACCTGTCCTAAGAAGACAGGCACTCGTCTGCTTCAAAATAAGATGTTTTGTTGTGTTTGGAAACAGAGTATGCCCCTGTCGCTTCCTTGTGATGCTCTTTTTGGGATCATCTCTGGAAACAGGGCATGCTTGGAGGCAGACTGGTAGTGCACAGGGAGCTGAACTAGTGGTGCCTGTGCCGAGCTCTCTGTTTGAATCCTGCATCTCCAGCTCGCCACGTTGCACGGCTCCTCACATAAGTTGAGCTGTGTCTGAAGCTCCTGCACAGCTTCACTTGCCTGCTTTGAAAAGGGCTGAGAAGAGGGTGAGAGAATGAGTTTGGGATGGAGTGTGGGGGCAAGTTGAAAGCATCAGCTGCTACTGTAGTGTATTTCCTTTCATTTTCAGAGACCAGGGCAATGCACAACTAAGGGAACAATGTAAATAGCACAGCTGTTACAAGAACTTGATTTTAGCTTGCCTTAAGTGAAGAGGTTCCCAAATACAAAGTGAGGTCCTGCTGGAAAGCTGCTGGTAAACTGATAGTCCTCTTGTGTGCAGATTTACTCTGATAAAATTGAACTGTCCTGAAGAAGAGTTACTTCCTTGATTTAGAAATACGCATTTTTTTAAAAATAAAAAGTTCTTTTAGAAATTGTGCTCCCCACTATAGCCATACGCTGAATAAGCTGATTTGGCTCCCTTTCATGGAATCCCCCAAATCATTCTACATTTAAATACTTTGTTTCCTGTATGATATGTTGTCTTGTAATTAGACTGTCCATTTCCAGTACTGAGCTTCGATTTTTTAAATAAATCTACAGTAGCTAGATGTTTTCTTTTAGTTTAGGGATTTCATCCAATATGAAATTGAACCTGAAATCTTTGTTCTGATATTCTGGATTAAAATTCACATTTACTCTTAATTTCTCTTTAGAGAATCACCGATTTGAAATCAAGTCCTTTGTTGAGATAGAAAACAATATTCAAGGAAGGGAAGAGCAATTCCTACTCCTAACACCTGCACATAGGCAGAAGTAGGCATAAGAAAGCTATTTTTGACAAGCTAAGTAACGTGTTCAGTTTTATTTAAGAATAGTCATTAATGCCAAACACATAAAGCTCCCCTTGCTTTTCTCTTTCTCAATTACAACCTTTAGTGATTTTGCATTTTCATGATATCCACTTTCCTTCTTTCCTCCCTTTTATTTATTTAGCTTTTTTTTTTTGGCAGAAGGAGGGGCAGTTTTTCTCTTAATTTCTCTACTGTGTAGTAGACAACTCTATTAATTATTATAGACTGTTGTTGCAGCTTTCCTGACCTTCACATCAGGTCCTATCTCTCTGTTCTAAATGCATTGTTTTAATGATTCTTCCCGCCACTCCCCCCCAGCACTTCCCCCCAAAAAAAATTTCAAGGAAAGCTTTGATGTGGCTTTAGCTGCCTCCAACGTCTGGCCGCATCTCAGATGTGTCACCTATGCCGGGAGGGAATAAGGAAATCACGTTTTGAATGGTAATGATAACATACTAATCACTTCCTTTCTTTGAAGATGGAAGCGAGATATTCTGTCAGCATCCCTGGCTGCTAGAGCTTGGAGGCACTGGTCTAGGTGTATTAGCTTAAGTGTGCATGTCAATACAGCTTGCATCTCCAAGATCCATGGGGGCTCATTAGAGCAAGGTGGATCGTTTCGCTCGACAGCCACTCAGATAATATGTGTGGCACTTCCTTTTTTATTATTATTAGAAAGCATTTCTTCTATTTTAAATGACATCTGTCAACAACACAAAGTTGGAGTTATGGTTGCATTTTTTTCTTTTTTTTTGACCAGATTCCAAAACTGATTTGAGGGGGAAAGGTATTCATTTATACAAATACATGTGTGCATGTACACACATGCATATATACAGATACGCATATTCTTGTATTTCTAAGTATCCAGACATACGTGCATCTGTACACACACATGCACACACACAGACACACACACATTCCCATGGGCGTGCACATATTCTTATCCATTCACCACCATGATTAGCTTATGAATATGTTTGTCAACCTGAATATGATCTAGTGTATGATTATTATGCTTAAAAAAAAATCAGCCTCAATGTAGGAAAGAAAATTTAGAAGCTGAGGATTTCGGGAAAATCCTCTAATTTCCTCTATCAAATGTAATATAAAAGAGTGTATATAATTTTTACCATTTTAGTGCACAGTCTAAAACACTAAGTGTCAGAAGTTCACTTTCAGTCCAGTGCTGTATATTTGGTGATAAATCCACAATTTTGTACATCTGTGTGCATGGGGAAAAATGTCTCTTGTTTCTTAGTGGTTGCCCCAAGTTGTCTTAAAACTAGAATTGCTGTTTAGTATTCTGTTTTAGTACCTTATGTTGCTCTCTTTGGCATCTTGCTGCACATCTAAAATTGAGGCACATTCTCTTAAAAATAAAGTTCCTGTTTAAAAATTACTATCTGCAGGAATCAAAGGAACAAGTAAGTTTTTTAAATGATTGCATTTTATAAAAAATAAATACAAAATAGGGATCATAGATCTATACAAATATCTCACATAGCTACTTCTGCTGAAATGGGAAAGATCCGGTAGGTTCTGGTCTTCGTACCTTTCTCAGTGTTTTGGAGTAAATTCATTGTGACCACATACAACGTGAGTCTGCCTTTTAAAACAAAAAAGTGAATGGTCCATACACAGCTGATTGATTGAAAATCTGTCCATTGTAGTGGTTCGTATAATGCAAGATTTGCTAAAAATTATCTATAATGGATTGTGACTCCCTCTCCCCACCCCTGCCAGAAATGTTAGGGCATACAACGGCATTATTTTTTTTAAGGCAAAAAAAGAACATTGTAGACGGCCGTCTGATTTTTTTTCCCTTTTTCTTTTTCAGAGGGCACATCTGCTCGATAACACAGAGAGGCTGGAAAGGTCATCTCGGAGACTAGAGGCTGGATACCAAATAGCAGTGGAAACCGGTAAGAATTCTGAGAGTGAGCAAATTGTCTTGCTTATGCACAGCAGTCTTCACAACACATGACATTTCAGGGAAACTTCAAAGGAGTAGCAGAGACAGCAGCCCGAGATGTGGTTTACATATTGGGGAGACAATTGGGAGCTTATTTGCGCTTATCTTTTTTCAAGTTAAAAGGCATGACATCTACTGAAAACAGTTCCTGAGGTTTAAAAGTATACATCTGAAAAGAGATGGAATACTTTGTCTAAATTCTACATTTGTCTTAATATACAGTTACATGTTGTCAGTTTACCCACCCGCAATGATTGCTAGCACACGGTGCCGGCTCCAATTGTTTCCTCCTATCCATTTATTCACATATGTAAAAATTAACATTTTAATCAGCCTAAATGATGTGAACTAGGGGCAAAGTAGTTCCAATACCAAGTTTACCTTGCTTCTTTGTCCTGGTGTTAGTAATATTTCCCAACGATCCGTATTTTTTTTTTAAATCATGAAAAGAGCCTGTAATCAGATATGGAAAAAAAAAAAGTCATGATAATTTTATTTTAAGTGTTAGTTAATACTGTCCAAACTTTTTCTTTGAATTAACACTAGTTCTTAATTTGAGAAAACACAGCCCTAATTTGACTTCTAAAGTGAGTCTACTTAAAATAGACAGGCTTTTTCATTATTAATGTTTCATGCCATGACGGCTTGTTTTTGCATAGTAAATAAATATCCGTTAGCTCCTTTATACTTATCAGTTTCTTATTATTTAGCTATTTGCAAAGTATAGATTATATCTCGTCTATTTTACATATTTTGGGTAGCTCTTGCCCAGTGTATGAGCAACACAAAAAATACGTGGTCAACATTTCCATTGATTTTTTTTAAATTTAGTGTTACCAAAAATATGTATTTGGGGGTAGAAGGTAAAATGAAAAGATTCCAAATAATGTCTTTTATGAACAGCCTGTGTTTTCACTTCCCCTGAGTTCATGACTCTCCTGTATTGGTTGGCTTATGGGATGAATTCTAAGAAATCAAATGGCAAGAACACCAATGGTATTGGCATTATAGTAATGGTGAGGAAACTGAAGGAAACCATCAACCTTCCCCTCCCCTCCCCACCCGATTTTGTAATAATACGGGCAGCCTTCTTTTCGAGGTTATTGATAGATTGGCTTTCTGGCCTGATTGGGATAAAGGCAAGCTTTCGTTTGTTCTTTCAGTCCTTGGGCTCACTTTAAGAAGGGACTGTCCTTGCAAATTATGTGAATAATGAGAAGAGGCCTGAACCTGAGGTCAAAGGATCAAACTTGAGTTCTAGCTCTTGTGTGTGACCTTAAGCAAATCACATAACCTCTCTGAGTCTGTTTCTTCTTCTCTCTCAGAATATTCCTACGAAATGATGGCATAAGTTAAAATATTTTCTATACCATAAAACACTATACAAATATAAAATTATTATTAATGTGTGGTCATTTGGTGATATACAGGCATTTATCTTTCTCTCACAGAAGAAGAATTATTGTGATTGAAATATGTATTAAAGGAATCTCTTAAAAGTGTTACTTCGGCATTCTTGGGGAACGTGTCACTATACCTGTTGAACATCAAGGGACCTTCTTTGATAAAGTGTCCCATTGGTGAGCCTCTTTCCACGTGGGACTGGGTTGGGTTGGGGATGTTCTTGCTATGACAGTGATCACAGGGCTTGATTTGGCTGAGTGGGTTGCCTTTTCTCTTTCATGACACCATTCATGTAGCTCCCTCCCAAAACTGAAGGAGATCAACAAAGAAGATCTCAGATACTGAAGGATCACGACTTGATCAAGGTTATTAGACTGAATGGGATTTGATAGTTATTCCTTTTGCTGTGTGCTAAAACGTCACATCCACATCAAACGATCAATACAATCAACTTTGGAAATGCCAATTTCAGAGTATCAGTTCCCTGGACTTTTAGTAGAATACAGTGGTAAATGAACAATTAAGTTTTATCAAATTGGATATTTATATGTTATATAATACATATATAAAAGTCTTACAGACTATAAAACCAAGACTACAGGGAGGAATAAAGGTGGGCTTCGTGGAGGTAAAGACAGATGTGGCACATGCCCAGACAGAAGTCATCATGATGGTTCATTTCCTGGGATGAGTTTGAATGGGTGCAGGAAGCACAAAGCAGGCACAAAGCATTCTTCCTGCCCTTGCCTCTCACAGTTATGTAGGGGGAGAAGTGATTATGACGGCACCATGTTGCCTCTGTATTGCTTGTTTCTCTGCTAGCTCTCAGCCTAGTCATGTCCAGCCAGTCAACAGCTCTGTGTTTTCGTTGTGATATAAGTTTGTAATACTAATCATTTTGTTGGAGTATCAGAAGAAAAAACAGCAGCTCTCAAAAGGAAAAACTTTTAGCACTTATTGGTCCCTTCTTAAAGACTGTGAAATGCAGGAGGAGATGTGGAAGAAACCAGCATGACTTTTGAAACAGCACAAAAGAGGGAAATGCTTTGCAATGTATTGGTCTAAGAACAAGTTCTAGGCCACAACAAGAATTTTCAACAGTCTCCAGCAAAATGAGAGGAGAAAAGTAGAAAGTAGTGTTTCTCTTATAAAGCAAATTTTATTAATTTGAAGAATTACATGTTTTTGAACATATTTTTCCTATTTTGGGGTGCTAAAGGAAAGTATAGTTTATAATATGATAGAGATAGTAGGTAGAATTAAACGTTTATTTTTTTTCTCCACCTGGAAAAATAACAGAATTGGCAACCCTACTTGGGTGCTTTGAAATGTTTCTTAAAATTTTACTTGGCCACAAAATCTTGAAATTGTTGTCTAATGTACTGGATTGGAGAAAGAGACAACAGTCCCATTGCCTGGCTCTGCATTAATCAGCTGTGTAACTTTGAGAAATACTTAACCTCTCTACGCATTCTTTTATTTGTCACATGGAAACTTGATGCTATATATATATAAATAAAATGACCAGAAGTTTGTTATAAAGTAAAATGAAATTGTATATATTCAAGTGCTTAGAAAGTGCATAGGGCTCCGTAAAAGTCATCATTTTTATGTTATCATGAGCATAAGTGGTTATCTCTGAAAATTATTGGCAAAAGGTTTCAACAAAAATCTGTAAACTTTTCTTGATGACCGCTATTGACAAATACCATAAGAGAAAGTTTGATTATTTTATATAATCAGTTGTGTTAGAATGGAATAGAAAGCATGTTATTTTGACCACTAGTATCTTTCTAGTAAATAATGAAACTCATCTTCTAAAATTCTTGAGTCATCTTTGACTTTTTTAAAAGTTATTTTGTGTCTCTTTAGGAATAGCTGCCGAACAGAGCGACTCATGTCCAGAATGTACTTGGTCGGAGCAGAGGTCCACAATTATTTCTAAGTGCCATTTACACCTTGATGTATTTCGAGTTTCATACCAGTCTGTTTTCTTTCGTGGATCCCTTTCTATTTGAGAAAATTGATGAGGTTACAAGTTAATTGAACAGCTCCATTTAGAGAAGAGACAGATGGTAGAATGTATGATATTGAACTAGAGAGCTGACGCTAGGACATTTCAATCTGAGAGTGACATCGAGAAGGACATTATCAGACTAACTGGCGAACTTCCTTGGGAATGACCCTCAAAAACCAGGCACTCTGGTGGTCATATCTTGTAACTTCTTGTCCCAGAATCTGTGAATAAAAAGTGACTCTTCCTTTTTTCATTTACTACTAATAGTTAGGTATGACTGTTAGGCATGGAGATATATCCATTTTGTTTGAGGTCAGGGAATTAATATTTAAAGCTGTGGATCATCTGCCCTTTATTCTGAAATTATGATAATTTTTTTCTCTGAAGTAAATATTCCAGCTTTACAATAGGCGTAAAACTAATGGAAGCTGCAATGATCAATAAAAGAAATAGGCTGAAAGAGAAATTATACAAGGGCAGAAATGCAAGGCTCACTCTCTTCGTTCAATGTTGAAACAGAAGATACTCATGACTGTCCCACCCTATACCCTAAATGGGTCCGGTGCACCTGAAACCATGAGGGGGGTTCTCTACAGTCAGTAGCCTCGCGTCTCTGGAGATGATCTGCACCATTTGCTAACCTTGCTCCTGCCACCTCTGAGTGCCCAAGCCTATGGGTCTGCACCCGTTCTCTCAGTAGTCACGGCAAGCCACCCAGCTCTGCTGTTCCATTTGGGCAGGGATCTCTGCAACAGGGTGCTATAGTGCTGCCAGCCTTCCTGCCATGAGGAGAGGTTCCGTCCCTTACCCAGGGCCCTGCAGGTTCCCCACCGTGGACTAACGATTGGACACACGTAGAAATAATACAATGTTTATCGAACACTTAATATGGGCCACACACTATTCTCAAGAGTCTGTATTTACCATCTTATTAATCCTTACCACAACCCTATGCAGTAATTACTGTTTTCTCATTTTACAGATGAGAAAACAAGATACAGAGAGATTAAATTATTTGCCCACACTTATTAATCAAGCTAGGAAATAGCACAGCCAGACTATCTGACTCCGTGCTCGTAACCAGTAGACCACACTGAAATGTGGACAGATCCCGCATACCTAGATTTTCCAGAGTGGCCTGTTACAGTCAAAACATGCCATGTTCTCACATCTGTTAAGTTCCTTTCCACATAATTTATTCAAAAACTAACTATCGGATACTGTGGGCCATGTGCTGAGGATACAGTAGCAAACAAGATAGCCAACGTCCCTGTTCCCAGGCAGCTTATGTATGGGTACAGGCAGGGCAGGGAGCGGGGTGAGACAGACATTTTTTTAAAGTAATAAATAAATGGACAAGATCATTTCAGATGGTGGCAAAATGAAGCAGGGTATGAAAGAATGAGTAGTGACGTCGATATTCGGTTAGCTAGTCAGGGAAGACCTCCCAGAAAAGTGCCTTGTAAGTTGAATCTTGAGCAGCACAGGAAGCCATCAGTAAGCAAATTAGGAACAGATGATTCCAAGAG